TATATATATATATATATGTGTGTGTATTGTGTGTATGTTATGAGTGAATGAGGAATATTATGTAATCACTGGAAGTAACCCAAGGGTACAGAAAGCAAAAAGTAGCTGTTATACATCTCATACAGCTTTATATTATTAAAATATGCATATTTAATAGAGAAATGTGCTGATTTTTTAAAAATGAATTACTAATAGCAAGCATCACTATAATACTGTGTGCATAAAATAAAATAAAATCAGTCCTACCTTTCGGACAGCAATGTGAAAATAAAAAATGGTCTTAAATTTAATAATTATAAGAAATAAAATAGTTACGTACCTCCTATAGTAAGATTAACTTTCTTTTCGTAAGTATCGTCGACGAATGCTTTTTGCAGTGCAAAAACCTCGATAGGAGGCCCCAGTTCTATTCCCGTGAATCTGGTATTCATGTTGTAAATGCGAGCCAATAGTAAATAACAAGTAATAATATAAAGAATAAAATTCAATTAAGAATTGGAAATGAGAAAGGAAGGAAAAGTTCACAATTACGACGTGAAAAGAAAATGCTGGAGTATAGTATGCAAAGAGAGTTAAAATGAAGTCGCGCGAAGATCGGCGATCTGCGAAGTGTGTGAACTTGCCAAGTGATCTTCAATCTGATTGTATGTGTGTATGTGTACGCTCGATTTTTTTTACACCGTTACACCGATTGACGTAAGGGAGGACGCAAGTTATAGCTACTTCACTTTCGTATCATGTGATGTGCAGTGGCTCTCAATACATTTGACTACCGAATGCAACCTTAAGCTGAATACTTATGTATGTATGCTTCCTCTTTTGTTGTTGGACGCGCTAAACGCATATTTAAAATGTTATGTATACAAAACCGCCGATGTGTATACATTTAGAGAATTTTTCCAATGTCAATCATTTCAAAGCTAATAGACATCGTTCGTATGACATGCGTTTGAAACATTATAATGATATGAAAATCATTATATTCACACTTGTACGAATCGAACGCTATAAAAAGATAGATTTTCACGAACTGCTCAAACTGGTCATTTCAGCTACAAAAATCATATGGTAAAAATTGACAAATATCAAACTTCAATTTGAAACACATGATCCTTTTTGTCGCCGATGCCCATTTCCACCAATGGCACCAATGTAGATTAATTTTAATCTCGGTTAAATTTTTACTCTTCGTTTTTTTCTAGTTCTAAAAATTAAAAAAAGATGAATAGTAAGTTAAACCGAGATTAAAGTTAATTTATATTGGTGGAAACGTGCGTGAAACAGCCAGTTTGAGCAGCTCGTGAAATATATGTATATATATAGCTGGAGGACGAATGAATTTAAAGCATTTGATCGATCAATCGGAAGAAAGAATTTTACCAATTAACCTATCAGAGAATGTAAATGGAAAATAAAGCCTGGTAAAACAGGTGAATGTGCAGATTATTTCACCCTGCGCTGTGATTGGCGTACAAAATCATGTTCCCTCACTCCTAACAGTTCGCGGCGATTTGTTTCAACGCATAACATTTGAGTGTGTATTCGAGCGTAGTGAAACGGTTTATTGTGCGTGTATGTACGAATTTATAAAGTAACAAGCTAAAAGGCAGAGATCAAAACACAATTGCCATAAATTCGTTCGATAGATAACATTGAATTGTGTTAAATTGCGTCGAATGTCAGTCGATACACGCGACGTGTACCTGTACTTTGTGAATGTTAACGAAAGATAAATGAGTTTACAAGACAGCCTGTTTTCCGAGGATGTCGAATACGACGTAATCGCCTTTACGAAGGATAACACACCTAACAGGTACGAGAAAATTATAACAAGATTCTTTGAATATAGTATCATCACCGACACATCATATTTGAAGGTTAGTTTCCTCACGTTGATCGTTCGTGGCTGTGAACGCATAAACACGTAGTTACATTTCCACTTTGAATGACTTTATTATATTTACATATATATGTATATAGATGTTGGCAAGTGAAGGATTCGTAAACATATCGAGTTGAATGAGATTATCGTGTGAGTAGCGCATTCCTATGATATAAGATCTAGTATAAGATTTATAAATAGCATAAGAGATATATATAGTTTTCGATTTTGCTAAAGTTCGACCATGATTTCGTTTTTTTAACATTATCTGAATACTATTCCTATTTATTTTTGTATATGTTATATTATGATTCTTGCTGTGTAAATTAATGCAAATAATTTTGTACTTGATATATACAGCGATATATTGGAATTTGTGGACATTGGTGGAATGCATGGTATAGCAGCATCAAAATAGTAATAATCCTGAAAAATTTAATGTCTCATAGTAAATTGTACATTTGTGAGTATATAGGTATTTCTTTTCAATGCGATAGATATTTCAAATATTTGTATCATTCCATCCTAAATACTTATTTAATTTCGACTATTTCGACGTTTTATTTTCGTTTGAAAGTAAAGTTGAAATTGAAACAACTTGACGCAATTAGCGCTAGAATACAATTTGTTGATTTTATTTCAACGTGTAGTTGGATTGTTATGATCACGAATGTAACACATCCAGTCCTTTCATTTCCTACATTACATGATATAAAACAGTGCACTCTATTTCTTTGTGATTCAAGGGAGCATACTTAATTACATTGCTTTCTCACTTTCATATACTTGTAACGATACATTTCATATACATAACAATACATATACTTCTAACGGTACAAGTGAATATTTTTTCTCAATTGTTTGCCTACTATTATACATTGTGTATCACATGCTATGCATGTCGTAATTTGCGCTTAGACAATAAAAGAAGAGACCGAAAGAAAATTCATGACAAAGATAAGTTGTAAACACTGATGTCCATGCTACATGCAAGTCTTTGTGGAAACAAACGAGAGAGAAAGTGAACGGGTTATGTAAAAGTTAGCTGGCGTTTATCGTCTTGTCTCTTCCCCTTCCATCTTTGTCTCAAACCAATGCCGTAAGGCATTACGTTCACCAAAACGAACGAAACAGCCGATGCTACGCTACCAACTACCAATACTCCGAACAGCACGCCGTTCAATCTCACTTTCAACGATAAACGCGTTCTTTCTTTTCACTTTTACAGAGTGCTCGTTTTTCCGCCCGTCAACAATTACCGTCGGTTCATTATACATCAGCTGATACAGGATCGTTTCTCAGATTTGCTGCATACGTTCTCGATCGGCCAAGGTTCGGCTAGACGTACTGTAGTATGTTACAAGACCGATGTGAGAAGGTACAAATGACAAAATGCTAAGAATCAGTCCTTTTATCTTCGATGTCTGATAAACTCTGAACTTTTCTTCTATTATTATTAATAGCAGAAATTTATAATATTTTATCTACATATGCATAAACAATGATTACTTGTGATTTTTTCGTTAATGATTTTTTACAATTATCTGATTTTCAAGCTAATATGCATTTGTATTACTAAATTTATCTACGTTTAATTAAAACGCATGCAATGATAAATGACATATAAGTACATGTCTCTGTGTGTGTAAAATTATAACGCGATACTATCGCAAACAAAAGTAAAATTGATCGAGATTACTTCTTGATCGTTATGCCATTCTATTGCGCTGATATTAACTTACGAATTACAATCACGATACATTAAGAATGTTTTTAAAGAAAATTTAACTCAGAAGAATAACATATTATTTTATTATATAAAGCGATTGGAACCCAAAACCAAATTTTCCTGAGTGTAAGACAAACTTTGTGACAAAACGAAAGGATACGAGTTGCGGAATGGGTATTGAAGGCCGGCGCTCACCCTCAACATCTCCAGAATGCAAACTACAGCGACAAGGTGATTATGAATATCACTCAAATAGCACATATTGATTTTATATATTTTATATATGTTTTCTAAATGCTCAAAAGATAGGTTTAGGAAATATATACATATATAAAATATATATAAACCAACATGTGTGTGTGTTAATTGAGTAAATTGATAATGTTACGTCATGTGCCATTATCAAATAAGATATATTTCAAAATAAATTAGTTGCAAAAGATTTGATTTTCACTTAAATGTTCGTTTAATTTTTAGCCAAGTCAATACCAACAGCTGAGATATATAGGCCACCAGCGGCTAGGAAGCTTAACAATTGTTCACAGATAAATAGTACACAGACGCAAGTACAATCGACTACAGATTTTTCTTCGGTCAAGTAAGTAAAACTTATCTCTATATAAATTATTATTATTATTAATCATAATTATTGGCTGCATCCAGAAGCACAATCGCTCAGTGAATTCTTATTTGGTCTGTATTTTTAAATATAATAGAATATGCCGATCAGATGCAAAAGCTCACTGAGCGCTAAGTGAGCGATCATGTTTCTAGATGCACCATTGTTTGATATACATACATATTATATATATATATATATATATATACTTGAATTGTATGTGGTCTGCATATGTTTCTCTTTTATATTATCATTATAATAAGAAAAAGAAACATGTGTGTGATTGATGTCAGCTATACCAAATACATATTGTTAATATATGTATATGTATGCAGGAATGTACGTCAAAAACGACCTGATCGGGCGGTTTATGTGCCTAGACATCGTAGAAGTTTAGAAATTGAAGATAAAAAGCCACAAAGTTTGAAAGTTTCTCACACGACGTTAAATGAAGATTCAATTATGATTAATAATTCTAAACTACAAGATGTATGTTGTAGTCAACAAAATGTAGACGATCTAACTTCACATAATCAACTCTCTGAAAGTTGCAACACGAAGATCGAAGATAAACATATCCAAGGAAATATTTTAAAAAATGTAATTTCTTTAGACTCTGACAAAATCTCCGAAGCTCTCGATAATACCGAACACATGTATAAATTTTCGGAGCAACTAAAAGATGTGCCAATTTTATTCAAAGAGAAAGAAACTGTCGCAATTAATAATCTGGACACAAATAGTACTAATTTCAATCTACTAGAACCTTCTAACCAAATTGAAATTAATGACAAACAATCAGAAAAGATACAAGAAAATGTAGAAGAAAAGGAATCCTCGATCGAATATTTAAATTGTAGTGATGAAAATGATCATAAAGACAAACTAGTTAAACAGAATGTCGTATCGGATGTTCTAATAATTTCCGACTCTATTCAAAAGAAATCCAAACAGTCTGAACAACTTTCTCCAATTCTTGTAACACCACCTGAGAAAAAAGTAAAAAAGATAGAAAGGCAAAAAAGCAAACCGGCTCCACCACCTTCTCCACCTCTGAAAATGAATAGAGACGAATGCGATTGGGATAGCTTGTTCGACGATAATGGCGATTGTTTAGATCCAACATTAATAGAAGAGGTCAGTTATGTATTTAAATTCAGTAATTTATCGCATTTGTCTATTTTGTTGTATATAATCATTCAATTATTCACGTATTGTCTCTTATTTTTTTAGCTTACGTCAGCAGTAGGTGAAGTAGTGATAGAACAACCAAAAAACGATTACAAAGCATACAGCAAACAAATCGAAGTGTCCAGTGATGAATTTGCGCACGTTGTAGAAATTTATAATTTTCCTTCCGAATTTAAAACCAGCGATTTAGCAGCTGTTTTCAGTTCTTTTAAGAATGGTGGTTTTGAGCTCAAATGGGTAGACGATACTCATTGTTTGGGAGTTTTCAGTAGTCCTTTTGTTGGTATGTATATATACATATCTAGTAATTTAT